TCAGTAACAACCGGTTTTCATGATAACGTCTTACTCTAAAGAAATCTCGACATTGTTATGCATACAACATAGATGAATTTCGTGGTATAGCTTCTAATGTTAAAATCAGATCGTCACACCATCCATAACTGTCAAATTCGACTAGAATTTAAAAAAATCAAAATAATGATTAAACAATTTTATTTTTTTATTTTTGTATTACCTCGGTTGAAATTCATTGCATCAATTTGAAAACCCTTATGATCATTAATTCGAATTGATATAACATTACCACCACCTCAAACTAATGCAAACATAACGGCACGATATCGGCTGGTCAATGCAACATGTCACTTCAGATCGATATGTTGAGTCATGATACATGTGCCATTTATTATACTAGTGAATACACAATTCAATGGCTCATTATTCATAGTCGAAATGATGATGGCATTCAATGGTCTTGTTTTCCAATTATTCATGGATAAAGAATTGTTACAATCAACATTTCCATTGCGTAACAGATTAGGATCTTGATTAATAACAGAACCATTTGGTAGTACAGCACCTCGTATTGAAGCAGTACTTAATAATTGTTCATTTGAAATACTTGTCTTATTTGACATAATGGAATATGAAAAATTAGCCATAGTTACATTAGCTTTTTCAAAAGTTGCATTAATTAATGTCGGGCCCGTGAATGTAGCTAATCTTAAATCAGCTTTAGCAAAACTAGTTCGTGGTATATTAGCAAAACTAAAGTCAACATCTTGTACATTAGCTCGATTAAAATGAGTGCTCGTCAAGGTCGCTCGAGCGAATACAGTTCCTACACATGAACTATCCGTAAAATTGGACTCCAATAAATTAATATTATAGAATGTCATTCCAGAAAGGTTAACACGAGAAAAATTCGTTCGTTCTAGACGTGTTTGTGTAAAAGTCGAGCCTTTTAATTTAGCGCCACTAAAATCAGCATGTTTAAGATTGGCAGAACGGAAATTGACATTTTGACACAAGCAATTGATAAAAACAGCTTGTTGTAAACTACTTGAAATGAAGGTAGCATTCATTAAATATACATTTCGAAACATAGTACGGCGTGAGTGTACATTATGGAAGCTAGTATACTGTAAATCAGCCTTTGTGAAATGAACCACTAAAATTAGTATAAGATAAATCACGTTTGAAAAAAGAGACATTTCGCAAAATGACTCCAGTCAATGATAAATTGTGTAATTTTCTATGAAAGATCGTCTCACTACTTAAATCAATACCGATCAGTTCGGCATCTGAAATGTCAAGAGAATTTGCACCACTAGTCAATTGTTTAGCCTCGTAAAGAAATCGAATTACAAAACCACTGCGAGCAGCATCAAGTTGTTGAATAACAGTAAGCGTTTTTGCTCGAGCAATAATTGCTGTTACTGGATCAGACGTTAATGATCCATTGTTAGATTTAAGTAGTAAACCAATATCATTCATATAAGTGACAAGTACAGAGTCACGCAATTGTTCTTGAGCAATGTTAACTTCATGAGCTCGTTGTTGTTCTGACATATTTCGTTGTTTTTCAGCTATTAAATCATCTTGAATGCGTCTTGCTTCGGCAATGTCTTTGTTCAGTTGACGTTGTTCGCGTGAAATATTTAAATCATGTTCTCGTTGAATGGCAAACATGTTTAAATCTTGCAAACATTGTTCACGTGATATATTCAAGTCTTGTTCCCGCTGTTCTTCAGTTAATTTTCGATCTTCAAGACGTTGCTGAGTAGTAATCGTTTGTTGATGTAAAGTGATTATTACTGTAAATATTCCTAACATCAGTGGAAGTATTAATGAACCAACAAGTTGCAAAATATCCTTCACAGTTAAACCACAATGAGCTCTTAATGAAAGATATGGCAGCTCTGTATTTGTATATTGATTGTGTAACGGCATTCTTATTAATTATTACTTATGGGATATTAAATTAGAAAGTAAGTTGTTGTAGCATAAATAAATCTTATTCCTGATAATAGTTATATATGAGTATTGAAATGGCAGGATCAGTATACATTAGAATCAATATTTACCATAGAAAATATAAGTTTACATTCTTATTTGACTAGAGATAGTCATGAATAGAAGAGAAAAAAAATCCTATATGTGCACTGCTCATGTTCGTACTTATTACTTTATTTTTTTAAGCTAGAAAATGATTCGTTAAGAAATATGAATGATTGTTCAAGAGAGATTAGACTATGTTCATTTTTTTTTGACAAAATATACCTTGTATAATGTTAAACAACGAAGAAGTCAAATGAATTAATACTAGTATTGTAACACTAGAAACTAATTACAATTTGGCTTAATTTGCTCCTTCATTTTAACCTATCGAAGTGCTACACGCCCACATTAAACGTGCATCAATTAATAAATTAAAAAATGTTGAATACTTGATTTATTTTTCAGAGTATATTTTGTAAGAGCTAGATTCGAAGTTGGACATCAAAATGAAGCAAAAAATCATTATATATTCTATACTCTTATAAATATTAATCAAAAGTCATCAACGGTTTTTCCTGAACGACGAAATGAATGAAATCTATGGATTTCAACGATCTCGATCTAGAATGAAAGTCAATGACTGCCATTTGATAACGGATATGTGACTTATTATACCAATATGATTGGCTTTCAAGATTGTTTTCAATATAATGGTAAACTCTATTATTTGTCTTGCTCAATCTGTCATCAATTTTTATATTTTTTTATTGTACACTATCGTAGACAATTTAATTTCAATTAATATCTATGTTATCAGTACTAAGATCATTGTTTTGAATGTTTCGTGACTGTTACTACGAGTTGATCACTTAGTTATAATGTGTGTGTACTTAAGTGCGAGCTCAGATTAGAAATTTTGCTTAAAAAAACAATAACTTAATAGGAGTGTGAACGAAAATAGTAGTAAATTGAGCACGTCATTAGTTTTTAGATACTTTTTTTATTGATATGGTCATTATAGTCGGGTTTCGATTTAATCTGAACTACTTTAATAATTTATATTGATTTGAATCATTTAATAATGATTAGAAATGGATCAAAGAATAGATAGATAACAATAAACTCATCAGACTTAACAAATATTTTTTGATGTACGCATGATAACCTCTATATGACTGCTACGAAATATCAGAAAAACTTATGACTATTTTTGATCTAATAATTTAATTCACTCAAGTATGCAATTCACTTAAGAAGAAATGAAATATGTTCTTTTTTTTCTAACATGATGATAGACACTTTAATCATTTTTTTATCATTGCATGAGATTTATTTTAAACACAGTCAATGAAGATCAAAGAAATATTAAAATCGGATCATTGATTTTGAAATTAAACTACATTAGAGAGCTTAATGAAGCTTCAGAAATCAAGTTAAGATAATTGTTTTTTGAAACAACTTAGTCTAATTTAATCATTCATGTTCCGTGCATAATCAATTTCTACTTCAAAAAGTGCAGCAATAAGTACGACTATGAGCAGCACACAGATAGAATTTTCTTCTCTTCCATCGCTCAGTATCTTTAGTCAAATAATGAAGTAGACCTTGACTTTTTGTTAATGTTCAATATTGACTGTAGTGTCAACCGATGGTGTTATTGTAATGCTCATAAATTTTCTACTGGTCTGAATATTTGGAATAATATTTATTGTTATGATAAAGGAAAAACTATATACCGAGTAATATTTTTGCAAGATTCAAGCGTACAGATTATTTGAGAACACTTTAAAGCTTTACATCATTGTTCAATATATTCTTTGTTATCCCATGTGTGAGTGTGGAGGCTTCTTCAAAAAAGACCTACACTCATATCCACACCCCACACACTCACACACACACCCCACCGTAATATATGAAACAAATCGATAAAAATACGCCAATATTTAGGATTTTTTGGCAAAGCTCTTTATTAAGCAAAAAATATAAAGCAAGCATTTTTTTCTCATTTAGTTTTTGTATTATAAGAGAAGATTCACAAGCGATCAAAAAAGAAGTGATTTAAGAATAAGTAATAGTGAGGAAAAAAAGAAGCAAAGGATACAACGCATATATACTTTTCAATTATGTTTCAGTAAAGCAGGGTTTTGTTTAAGAACGTTCGATGCAACATGTGACTTTTTCCTTTAGCCCATCATGATTTTTTAGATGAAATATGATGACTTTTTTACATGCTGAGAATTATGTGTGGATCGGAGGCATCACCGGAGAGACTGGTGTTCTCGGTTTTTGACTACAATATTGAATGACTTTGACCAAGAGTCGTGCAATAATATTCAAAATCGCTATCGAACCACCAATTACACCAATCAACATGGCAGCAATATGTGTTGCATCATTTCTTGTCTCAACAGTATAGGTGCATTCCATTGGCTGACATTGACTATAATACATGTCGTAACTTAGTGTTATATTCCACTGCTCGACCATTAGACTCGCAAGACATTCGCTGATAGGTGAGTTTTCGAAATACACACTTGGTAATGATGAATCAAGAGCTTTTACATTCATTGGCGGAGATGAAGACAAATAAGTTTGTAATTGATTTATACAAGTTTGGTTATAAAAACATCGAAGATCAGATTGAAGTAATGATTCAATCACATAACAGCCTGTATAGAAACCTGGTATATTAAATAACGTTACCGTGCTGGAATAATCGTAAATAGCAGATTGAAGAATACATGTTGCTGAAGAAGCACAGCTACAATTACCGTAATTTTGCGCTATTGAAAACACGTTATTATTTTGTACAACTTGTCTGTAATTTGTCTGTAAACCAGATGACAAGGCATCGCCGTGAATGCTGCCTCGAATCATTGAGAGAGACAATAAAAAGCTTCTTGTTGTTGATCCCATAAACTTCTCAATCAATGATTGAGTTTGTAATTGAAATAATGCTGAAGGTGTGACATATACACTGACATAGTGATTCGAATAGAATTGAGATAAGTTGTCAGTAATCGTAGTTTTAATTAAACCGCATAACGTACTCAATGCTTGAAATGAAGACGGACTTGTCGATCGAAAGTCAGCAGCAAGGTGAGGTTCAGTAGACATGGCAAGATAAGAAATCCAATTCTGTGTTACAAAAATGCTATTGCATACTTCATGCAATATAAACTGCATAAAAAGAAACGTTTCATAGTTGATCGATGGTTGATTGCATGGACATCTCAGCATTTCTGGATATGTTGAATACAATTTTTGATATTTTTTGAGACTAGGTGTTTTGATATGAATAATCTTTGTAATCTTCATCAACGAAACGTATACGGAAAACGCCAATGATGCGATGAACAAAAAAATGAATAATCCTGTTGTTATTTGTTGGATGTGACGTTTATGTTGCTCGATTGCAGGTGGTACAGCTGAATAGAAATTACATTTTGACAAACATATTTGCGATTTTTCTTATTAATATAGCATAAATGTGTTTATAATATTTTGCAAAAACATTTAAATGCGCAAAGAGAAGAAAATTTGACACGAGTTCTCGAAATGTGCCAAGAAGACTTTCGCCAATAAGATTTTCATCGATATGTTGATCATCAAAGACTAAAGTCCAAGGTTATATTACCAAAATTAGCGGGGTTGAGTAGGTAAAGACATAGAAAACTGCCGCAAATTGTCTCGGAACAAGATTTGTATGAAAGCTATATCAAGTAGAGAGCTGCGGGTTTACTTTTTTGTCGACCTGAGCCCAAGTTCGGAGATAATAAAATCTGACCTCCTAGATCCAAATCTGGATCCAATCGGGTCCAGATCCAAATTAGTTTTCTCCTAATATGTCTCATCTCAGGTACATATAATTAAATAGAAAATCAAAGTTTCCACTATCGATCAGCTACCCTCAAAAAGATTGTAGGTAACGGTATTTCTTCCTGTTCAACCTGCATTGGATATGGCTCTTCTATATTTCGGCATAAACCTGACTGCAAACCAGGTCCAAAGTGAAATCTAGATATGGACCCAATTTGAACGGACCTGCAGCTCTCTAATGTCACGACTGGAACTAATGCTGTTAGAATCTATTCCGCAACTTGCACTTATCAATGTAGCCAATAGAACGTTTGTTTTATCTATGCTTAGGTTACGCTCAAATTGGAGAAAGTCATATTAGCAAAGTTTCAACCACTCTACAGCAATACATAATAGTAAATAGATGCAAGAAGAAAATTATATTTCCAACAGATAACATGGGAGAATGCATCCTGTTCCGCGATGTTGAGCATTAATGAATCAGGGTGTGGGTGTGGGTGATGGTGTGTGAGTGGGTGTGGGTGTCGATGTTCTTCTCCTGACTACTCACACCCACACCCACACCCGCACCGACAACCCACATCCGCATCCACACCCATACACCCACACACGCCCACACCCACCCACACACCATCACCCACACCTACACCCTTTTTAATTTTTACTCAACTATCAATAGCCATTCCGTATGTTTTGTTTCGTCTATTCATAATATAGCCGGTATTTTTGTCTTTACAAAAATCCATCTAATCATAGACACACTCTTAGTTTCTCGTTTGTTTTAATAGAATTGTGTTTTCTTTGTTATTCAGCTAGATGTAGTCATCCTTTATTTCGTCTTTTCTTAATAGAGAAAATCATTTTTTTTTATTTGGTTAACGTGTAGTTAGTAGCCCTTTATTTTGGTTTTTCAATTCGATGACACTACATTGATTAGTATAATTCACAAAATACATCACACAGTATGAGTGCGATGTGATATTCATTCGCATAAGAATCTGTTTCTTTTTTCTCTAATAACTTTTTGGTCGTTTTATTGTATATTTTAGGAAGTAAATTGTGACTGTTTAGTTTTTGTTTCTCGTTATAAAGAGAATCGCCTCTTTCTTACCCGTCAATCAGAAATAGTAGCTTCATTCTAATATAAAAATAAATGCGAAAACCTCGGATTTAAATCCGAGTGTTATGTGTACTTCAAAAAGTGAAAAGGTACATTCACTGTGCTTTTTATCACTAAATTGCAAGGAGAAAATACAGACGGGCTAAGTTAGCATGGATCATACTGTATGCGATCCTATCCGGTGACCACTGACTCTACTCTCAGACTTATAGAATATCTTTAGAAATCACAGGAATTGAGTTCAGATTCGTGCTTAGCTTAA